GACCCTCAGATTGTGAGTCGAGCGCCTTATCCACCTGGCCATGCCGGGCACTTTTAGTACTGACAAGAAAACATTTTTATACGATGTTCGGTAAACACACACACAAAAAAAAAAATCGATAGACTTTTTTTTTTCTGCACGAAAACATAATTTGCAACAAAAATTTTAATTTCTTTATTATTTCACGTAGACATTAAAAACATGTACTCCTGCTTTAATAAAATTTTTAAAAAATAGCTTGTATATAAAATAAGCTTGCTTTTACTTTCGGTAACGAACCAAAATCGATTTACCCGGTTCCACGCCGTTATCTACTTCAACACCTGAATGCTTTTTGCAGACGATAGTAGGCTTACCCTTGATTATCACTTTTACAAACAATAAATTAGGTTTGTATTTTCCATCACAAAACCGTGCTTAATTAATGTTTTTTTTTAAAAGACCCCTTTTAACTTCATGATAGAAACTGTAAATATGTCGGCCAGCTTATAATAATTCTATTATAATAATTAATATATATACTTCAGTTTTGGAAATTCTAAATAAATGGAAAGTGGGAATTATAAATATTACGCACGCACACACAAATTAAATTGTTGTCCATGTTATGATGTCATATTTTCGTAATTTCCAGTCACATAAGTAAGAAGCGTTCATTAATACTGAACATAGGAAGCACTTCCTTCGTATTAAAAAAATAAAATTCAATTAACTATGGCCATTATGACTTTATTCAAGTGACTAGCATTAAAAGAAATTATTTTGAGCTTATATAGCGTAAAATTTGAAAATACGCTGCTACACCGTTTTTGTTTTATTGACTCTTAACAACTTGTATTTTATAACAAAATTGCTAAGACTATCTCTAATTTTGGAATACTGACCAGAGGGAAGGTAGCCAGTCTGCAGTACTACCACCCACGATCCACGCTACAGGATTGACAAACCACCCCCACTAGGATAAATAGGAGGAAAGTTTTAGATCCATACATAAATTATTTCTTTGTCGCTTGTCCGTTTCTTTAGTTACATGGTTCTTCCTCCATGTTAGTCTTAACTAATTATCCCTAAACCAATATTCATAGATGCTCGATACAGGAAAATTAACGCTATGCGTTTAGTATTTCATTTACGAAATTGAAAGTAGCATTACTCACGCATCCTAGGGTTAAGGTGCGGTGAAGATTTTGTGGTTCGCACCAATTCGAACTCTCTCGACAGTTCCGGAAAATTGTTAGCAAAACAAAGTGAAACAAACAAACAGAACAAGAATAAATGCTAAATCTCACGAGACTAGTGTGTGTGTGTGTGTGTGAAACAGCTAATTAAACAACATCAAGGATCCTTAAGCAACATTTTAAAACTTTGTGACGAATTAACCTAAAACTAATAACAGAAATAAACAACAAATGTACGATAATAAATATGAAAACACGCGAGAAACGGATCGAAAAAAATGAGTTCAAACTAAATCGTTGTAAAAGATAGGAAACCTAAAATAAAACGCCAAGTCCCCCCCCCCCCCTCGAGTAAACTCCTCGGGGAGCCATAGGAGACCGTTAGGTTTGATGACAATCAGTCTAGCAATTCGCCAGATATAAACAGAAATATACACACAGAAAGACTTTTGCCAGATAATGATTGACACAAAGAATTCCTTGCCGTTCAAAGAATCTAAGCTCTGTGACTAAACCTACTACTCAGAATTGTAGGAATAACCACAATTCAGGATTGGGTTAGAAGAAAATGTAAAGATGCAAGTACTATGTCGGTTTAAATCAATTACCCCGTTTCAGATACGATAAATAGGTGGTTTTTAACTTTTTTTTGTAATCATTGAGGACCAGTCAGCTTATAAATATTTACTTAATAAGTAATTGTAAAATTAAAACAGCGTAGATTATTACCTATTTTCAAAGTCTGTTCGCGACCCTTTCACACATTCTGACGACACTGCGCTTGACTCGCAATCTGAGGGTCGTGGGTTCGATTCCCTGTCCCACCAAACATGCTCGCCCTTTCAACCGTGGGGGCGTTATAATGTTATGGTCAATCCCACTATTCGTTGGTAAAAGAGTAGCCCATCCGTTGGCGGTGGGTGGTGATGACTAACTATCTTCCGTCTAGTTTTTCGCTGTTAAATTAGGAACGGCTAGCGCAGATAGCCCTCGTGTAGCTTTGCGCGAAATTCGAAACAAACAAACTGACGACACCCTGAGAAACCCTGTGTTAAAAGACATCAAAGCGGTTATAACTGCAGTAAACTTTAGCTGTTGGAGAGTTAATACTTTAAAAATTATATACAAAATACCGTATAGGACATGAATGCTGAGTAATATGACAGTTAGTGACTGTCACGACTCATCTTAATAGTTGTACCCACCTGACAGGAGTTTCTATGGAAAAATAACTACATCATATACTCAAGCAACTGAGTTAACAAAATAATCGTTGAATTAAGCCTACAATATGTTGGAGGTTTACACGACAAGGTTAACACCAAATAGTCATTATAATTACTTCTTTTTTTATGTATTAATTCTAAGAAGTAAAACAATGTATAACAAATACGTGAATGTCGTAATATTGTGAAAGTTAACAGCAAACGTTTAAACGAAACGTTTGTTGTTAAGTACAAACCTAAGTGAATGGGCTATCTGTGTTGTGTCTACTGCGACTATCGAAACCCGATTTTTAGCGTGGAAAGCCCTCGGGTTTACCGCTAAGCTACCGGGGCTGGCTTATAGAAATGAATTAAAGTTTCAAGAAAGTAAACTTTTCAGTAAAAAAGGAAAGAAAAAGATGTTTAGAAGCTTAAAACGTACTGACAATGTACTTCATACTGTTTCGAGTTTGTAGTTCATAATCGGCTGAATTAAAAGACCGCAATCTTGATCTTGTAAATAGGAGTGGCACCGCAATAATGACAATAGTGAAATAAAAATTACAACGAAAAACAAGCCCTGCTAGGACTACGTACTTAATTTATCACAAAGAGAAGTGGAAAGATAGCAATTTTAAAATTAAACATCCTGTCTATATAAAGTGAAACACTTGCTCCGATTTCTTCAAATATGGAAAGACAGGACGTTTAATTTTAAAATCGCTATCCTTCCATATTTGAAGAAATCAGAGCAAGTGTTTCACTTTATATAGACAGGACGTTTATTTTTAAAATTGCTATCATATAAAGTGAAACACTTGCTCCTTATTTTTTTCAATTATATCAGGGTGAGGTTACCAGTCACGGACTGATTACACAGACCTGCGAATATAAACTTCATAAATATT